AACAAAAAAAAAAAAAAAAAAAAAAAGTAGTTACGGTGAGCCAACAACCATCTCATTTATATTGCTTATTTTTGGGGATATCAACTTATCTCCAAATTGAATATCTATAATAATTTCATATATTTTGTTAAAAAAAAAAAAACATATTATATATAATATGATTTGGGAGATATTCCAAATTCCATAATGTGAAATGTGAAATGAGGTTAAAGTCCATTATCTTTTAATTATTTGCTGTTATTGTTTTTTTGTTGTATTATGTTCATTGTGACTCTTTGTATTTATTGTCGTTTACTTTCTTTTATCTTTTTTTCTTGTTTATTCCATATTAGCCCAATTCACGCTCTTATTATGGTTAGTTCAGCTGTCCAAGCATTGTCAGCACACTCAAAAGAACATTAAAATAATTAAGGCAAGGTATGAACAAATACTGGAAATTGAGATTCGAAGTCAAACTGAGAGTGCAAGTTGAGATTCAAAGTCAATGCAAGTCATATTCTACGGCAATCACTCGGATTTCAATTATTTGAGAATTCCAATATTCAAACAACCGCTTACTTGCGAAAAAGAAAAGAAAAGAAAAGATGGAGAGACAATTTTAGTGGAAGAAGAAAGTTGGGGAGCACTTGGATGCCAAAAGCATCCTCCTCATTTATTGTGTTTAGAGTAAGTGAGAGGAGGATATGGTCCTCCCCATCACAATCCAACACCCCAAAACTGCAATCCCCAACGAAGCTCATTCATTTCAGTGTTGTTGGAAGGAAGGTGAGAGAGGAAGGGTTGGCCATGAATTAGCTTTCAAAGCTAATATTAATGCTTTCCCTCCTAACACACCCATTAATGGAGGAGGTTGAATCACGAACAGAGCTTTGCTTTTGTTTTCCTGGGGAACTCAATAATGTAATGTCCAAGTTTTTTAGCCATAATCCTACGTGTACTGCCACGCCATCAATATCAGATCCCCAACATCTCAGAACGGATAAGTGAAGCGTAGGGAGCGAGGGAGAGGGAATTCATTTTTCCAAATGGCCACTTTTTCAATTCCACTCTCTCAGAATGGTTTCCCTCGCAGCTTCTACTCTGCAAAACGCCCACAGCTTGTATCCCCACTTGCCCCTTCCCTCGCCCGTATCACTTGCTGTGGTTAGTCTTTCTTCCTCCTCTTCTTGGGTTTTGAACTGCCCCTGCTTTTCCTTTCTTTGTTTTTTTAATTCACTCCAGTTTTATGCATTGATTTACTTGAACGATTGCTCCTCATCGTACCCCTTTTTGTGGGCAAATTGCATTAGAATCTGGGGAGCAATGTTTTCTTTTTCCCGGTCTCTGCCCTTTGCTGCATCTTATGTTGTTAGGATCAGGATGCTGGTTCTGGGTAAATGCATTGAGTAATCCCTAAATTGGTAAAAATTCCTGTTTTTGCGTACCCTTTGATGTGCTTGGGCGAATGCAATTTGAACTCAACCCCACTTGTTGGGAAAGCAACATAATCATTATGACTTGTGTTTAATGGAGCCTTATCTGCAATGCCATTTTCTTAACTGATGAAACAAGTGTTCGGTGTGGTGAAATTGCAGCTACTGTGGATGGGGCTGAACCAAAAGAGAGCTTGTCATCTTGCAAGCACATTGGTACTGTAGCTTGTGGTCTTCTTGCTGTTTGGGCTTTGACAAATACCACTCCTGTGTTTGCAGCTACTCAGGTCAATAGCCTATCGCATTTCTCCATCCACATGCCTTGAGGCAATTAACAATTAATACCCACATCTGTGACATTCTTCACTTTCGATCTTGTATTAATGTTGTGAGATCTCACGTCGGTTGGGGAGGGGAGCGAAACATTCTTTATACGAGTGTAGAAACCTCTCGTTAGCAGGCTTATTTTAAAACCTTGAGGGTAACCATGGAAGGAAAAGCCCTAAGAGGACAATATCTGTTAGCGGTGGACTTAGACTGTTACAAATGGTATCGATTGGAGAGGAAAATGAAACATTCTTTATAAGAGTGTAGAAACATCTATCTCTCTAGCCGATGCGGAAGGGAAAGTTGAAAGAGGACAATATCGGGTAGTGGTGGGCAACAAAATTCTTCCTTTTATAGTCATGATCAACAAAATTCGTTCACTTTGTGTGGCAAGTGTGAAACAACTCATTATGTTTAACCTCGAGAAATAAACCTGTTGAACTGATAATATAATATGTGGGACTTGCAGAGGCTTCCTCCACTGTCGACAGAACCCAACCGATGTGAGCGTGCTTTTGTTGGCAACACTATAGGTCAAGCAAATGGTGTGTATGATAAGCCAATTGATCTTCGTTTCTGTGACTACACAAATGAAAAAAGCCAGTTAAAAGGGAAATCTCTTGCTGCTGCGTTGATGTCAGAAGCAAAGTTTGATGGTGCAGACCTCTCTGAAGTGGTAATGTCAAAAGCATATGCTGTTGGAGCCAGCTTCAAGGGTAAAATTCTCTCTATCTTACCCCAACTCCAATAGCCAGGCGGATTGTCAAGATAGGAGAAAGACTTTCATTTTAATTGATCTAAAGCTCGTCCTTGGATCTCCCAACTCTAAAATATGTAGGGCATAGCCACATACTCATCACATTTGCTAACGAATATCCTGAAAAACACTCATAATATGGATTCAAACATCATGACAACATTGCGTATTGCAGGTGTCGATTTCTCGAATGCGGTTCTAGATAGGGTAAATTTTGGGAAAGCCAATCTCCAAGGAGCTTTGTTCAAGAACACTGTAGTTTCAGGGTCCACATTTGATGATGCTCAATTACAAGATGCAGTTTTTGAGGACACAATCATAGGCTACATTGATCTTCAGAAACTGTGTGTAAATCCAACTATTAGTCCTGAAGGAAGAGCTGAATTGGGATGTCGATGATTTCAATATAGTCTGTGTATGTATTGTATTGTATAAACAACTTATATGATTTTGGTAAGTAATACATATTCAAAGAGAGAACTCCCTCTAACTTCTGTTGAAGAACAATGTGGTGTCACTGTCAAGTTCATGTTTTCCATAATCTTCTTTCGTTAGGAACAAAATCTGATGTTTTTTCTTTTGAGTATACTCTTAACTGCCTATTTAAGCGCATCTAGTGCAGTGGTATCATAGTACCCTCCACGGTACTGGCCGGGGCTCGGTTCACCGGATGCGCATATATTTTTATTTTTGCATGGAATGAGTCGTTCTCTGAATGTGATGTCACTAAAAAGATGCCAATCTTTTCTTCAAACCCTCATGTATTGTTACAGATGCCGTATCAGTGGCCAATCAATATCAAGTGCCATCACCAGGAGGCCCCCACTAACACTACAGTACTCGTACCTAACAAGGGTCACCCACCATACTTTCTGCAAACTTTATCATAATAGCCTACATATCAAATTTAACCAATATGGGAAAGAAAAATCAAGAACATAACTCAGTGAGTCAAGTCGAGTCTGGACCAAAAGATGAGAGGTTCTTTTGACAGAGAGTTCAATGTTAAGGAACTGTAAAATATAGATTAGAGAAAGTTTGTTGTGTTTTTGAAACTTTTTGAGCTGTCATTCCACAGGGCCACCTGAAATTCCTTCACAGATGTCTGTCTGTCCTTCGTTACCCAACATTCAAGTGTGGGAGTCCTTGAAGAACCAAGCCAAACAAGGGTGGTAAAGGGAATCCTATGCCAAAATAATTGGGATGATGTGAGAAAATTATGTTGTTATTATATCAGACGCACAGAGTTCAAGCAGCCTGGCAGAAGCACTTTTGTCTGTCACCATTCATGTTCTTTTCGTAATAATTTCCCTGCAAACTCCTCCCTCCTCCTACTTCCAACTTTCCACCTCTTTTTGAAGTGCTTTCTATTTATATGAACCCAACCCTCAGCTTCATGCATACCATTCACTATCACTCAATCATGCTCAACACGAAATGTGAATTTCTGTATCCTCTTTCCAACTTTTCTTGCTCAAATGAGTATTCCAAACAGAGCAGCAGATGCAAATGGAAACTAATCAACCCTTTTTCTTTCTTTTTATGATGCTCCTGCTGCTTCTTTCTGCGATGCTCATTTCAGCAAGAAATGTTGCAAAAATGGAGGCTTTTTGCACCATTTCTCGCTTTTCCCTCATCTGGGTTATCTCTTCTCTGCATCTTCTTTCTCTCATCTGGGTTATCTCTTCTCTGCATCTTCTTTGCACGTTTCAGCATTAAAACAGTAGCCGCCATTTTTGCTGCAAAAATATGGTATGTGGAAGTTAACAGGTGGGATTAACGAGGAAGGAAAGAAGCAGGAATTTCTATTGTTAATGTAAATGGTAACGAATGGTCAATGATTGTTGATGATTTAATGTGGTTTATAAATGGAAAGAGACCCATTCTTTTGTTTTGTCTGTGGATAACTTGTCGCCTATTTTAGAATCCAAAAGTTGTCAGCCTCAGAATGGATTCCGCCATTGTCTAATATTGCAAGCTTAGTGAACGGTGCTCCGTTCACCGTCTTCCCCCATCCTAACCTCCGATATTTTCACTACTATTTCGTCAATGGCTTCTGTAGATAATCGTTTTCGCCATCGAGATTATTGCAATGGAATCCCACCTGATCCAGGTTTCTATCTTGTCCTGAACTTGTCATTTTCGGCGTCCTCAAATGGGGAGGGCGGTGGTTTATGTTCTTATATTCGCCGCCTTCGCTGCTTTCTTCGTATTTTCGCCGTCCGATCTCCCCGATCGGAACCGTCAAGAACTAACTCGTCGCCTAGGTTACAAATTCCGAACCCCCACTTTTGATCCTCTTGTGGCAGAATTGGAAAGAATCGCAGAGGAACGTGAGTTGGGAAGCCGAGGAAACGCGATTGGAGTGGAACGAACTGCGAAGGCAAAGATTCCCGAGGCTTACAGATATTCCAACGACGAAGGGAGATTGAACATTTCGTCGAGGCTGGTCGTATTGTTTCCTTTGGTGGACCACTCCCCAAAAGATGGGCTTATCAATTACGAGGAGATGAGCAATTGGATTACTGAGCAAACCATCGACAAATTGAACAGCAGAACGAGGAGAGAGTTAGCTTTCTACGACAAGAACGGAGATGGCGCCATATCTTTCCACGAATATCTGCCGCAGTTTTCAGAGGAAGATATTGGTAAGCCTTTTGGTTTCTTTAATGCTGGGGAAGTTCAAGAAATTCCCATTTTCCTGAAAACTAGAATGATGATAGATCAAAACAAACCATTGTTTTCTGGGTAACCCAAACACATTCTGGGATTGAAATGAACATTGTGAAACAGCTAGAAACGAAACGGGGCATGGACAAGCTGGATGGTGGAAACAGCAATTCACAAATGCTGATGTTGACCCAAATGGATTGCTCAATTTTGATGAACTGAAAGAGTAATGTACCATTTTCAACCATTAATTTGAAACATGTGTTTCCTTGTAAGAATGGAATGTGATCTTTGTGTGCTGCAGTTTCCTGCACCCACAAGACAGCAGCAATTACCGAATACAAAACTGGCTGTTGAGCGAGAAAATGAAGTAACCTTTCCCCATACTCAAGCTCTTAACTTTTGCCATCTGCATTGAAAATCAAAGCATCAGCTTGTGTTTAATATGTGTGCAGGCGCATGGACTATGGCAGAGATGGAAAACTCAGTTTTGATGAATTCCTCCACCACGCATACAACATATACAAGAGCTATATTGAATTCGAAACTCAAGGGGTCGACGTACCGACCGCAGAAGAGAAATTTGATGAGCTTGATCTTGATGAGGATGAGTACGCATTTGATCTATATATCTGCTTCATACCAACGTGTTGGGTGTTTTTAATATCAAAAAATTGTGTGCAGAGTATTGACAGTGGAAGAATTAAGGCCATTGTTCCAGTATCTTAATCCTGGAGAACTTTCTCATGCCCAACATTACGCAGCTTATTTGATTAATGAGGTATATTAGTAGTTGATTTGAAGAGATTAAGAAAACAAACATGATGATTCACTCAATTTTATGCTGTAATTAACGCTGCAGGCTGATGATAACAAAGATGGGTTCTTAACACTCGAGGAGATGCTTAAACATGAGTACGTGTTCTACACCACACTATATGAAAATCAAAATGGCGACTATGAAGACGATTCCCATGATGAACTTTGATGGTTTTTTCTTCTTCTTTTCTTTTCTTAAGCTTAGATTTTAGATTGTATTTGATGGGTTGCATAGGGGTGAAGGAAATAAACAAGATAAAATGGTCTGGGTTGCTATTAACTCACCTACCCTCTAAATTTTGATCCATTTTCCACTGTTTTCCTTCAAATGTAAAGAATAGCCTCTCGTCTATGCTGTATATTAAAATTAATTATGGTAGACAGATTTTCTGTCCCCCTTTTTCTTTCTTTTTACCAACTTCATTTATTGTAAATCATTTTATTTTCTGTTTTTTTTTTTCATTTCGCCCATGGTGCTCATCATATTGTTTCCTGTTTATTTATGTATATACCTGTTATCTAGGGGGGGGGAAGTCAAGTTTAGCATGCAATTATATGCTTTATTTCAGTTGTGTATGGGTTTTAAGATTTTATGGTAAAAAATTAGTTCCAAGACTTGCAATTCTCATTATGCTAACTAGTTTTATAGAGTTATAACATTCAACTTGAAACGGATGAGATCAACCCCTATAGATAGATAGATCTACAATGGTTAAAGAGACAAATATGAACTCAAATGCCTTTGATTGATGTATTGGAGCTTTAGTAACTACCTGGGTTTTTGATTCTTGAATATTATTTGCTCTATCAACCGTACGGCATCAAGTATTGTTACGCCAAGAGGTGCTACTTCGATTATTGTATAGGTTGATGATCGCTTATTTTAGAAAGCCTTTTCGTTTTCTTATGAAGATTAGACAATGGCTTAAAAGGAAAACAGGATATAGGTTCTGTTTTGAGTTTTCTCAAGATATATATTTTTTTTATAAAGAAAAAGTAGTCTTCTGTTGTTCCACTTCCAAATTGTCCTTGCCACAATGTTATACATGGGAGGCAGCTTAGCCTAACAGAAAATGGCTGCTGCTATTGGAGGTCTTTTTTTATGGAGGCCACCTTCCATCATGTTTGAGTACTTTTCAATGGAAACATTTAAAAAGAAAAAAGGCTTTAAGTTGACTCTGATGAAGGGCAGGCAAGGCAGGCAGTGCATGCAACTTTAGAAACCATTCCTTTCTTACACGAAGAAGTAGAAAGATCAGTCGTGGCCTCCAAAACCACTGCCTTTCTTATTTCCTTTTTTCCTTCTCTACAGGTAACATAATCTTTCAACATCACAGAACTCGCTCAGTGCCATAGCTTAAGAGACAGATAACCTCCTTTTTTTCTTCCTTCCATTGCAGGAGAGTTTGAGGCCTCCAATACTAGGATGAATCTTAATCACTCTCCTAACAAGGTATACTGTAAAGTGGTGAATATGTGGTTTTTCATGTTTGGAAGCTATTTACTTTTCTCTTTAACAACTTCTCTAGTCCCTACTGTCAGAGACATGAGAGATCCAGATATTATACAAGTATATAATTTGATGTCAACAGATTCGTTAAGAACAGTTCTGATGAGTTTGATCTGTTTCAGGAATCTGACCTGGACGAGAATTTCTGAGGTGTGAGTAATTTTCACTCAGGAAAGTTATACAATGTGTATTGTGTTGGTTAGCTTACAGTAATGTTTTCTTACATGAAGGATGGATTCCAAAGGGAGATGAGGAAGCTTTTGATTGTTTACAGACCAGATTATGATGATCCTGTGGATAAGCATGAGCCTCAGAAACCAGGCACTGGAAAGACATAGGACTTGAGATTCCTGTGTTTCCCTTGGGCAAATAATGAGGATGAAAATGGGAACTCTCCTGATAGTCTCCTTGTGAACCAAATAAGACTTCCAAATTGAAAAGTTCTGAATCCTAACGGAAGGTGTAGAATGATTCAACAAGTTGTAGTGCAGTTTTAGAGGCATGATAGTTAAGGCGTCAAACTCTTGTGAGGGTAGGTTAAGTCATCTAAACTAGCTTAAGATGTGATACATTGTATAACTATTCACTTACACTTTACAGATGAAAAGTATGGAACAATAAGCTGATTATACAACAGTGGGACACACAAACTTTAAAGACAGAAAATAGAGGACGCCCACCAAATACCGAAAGAAACGACCCCAATCGTACCAAAAGCTTGAGCCACTTCATATATGACGTTGTCTTGCTGGAGGGGCAAATTCTGCCAATCTGTCCGCCTGCATCTCACCTCCAGTTAGTTTAAATCATATTTGTATTGGAAGAACTCCCGCAACAACAAATAAGACAGTCTAATAACTGAGATCGAGTTTCGAGTTTCGTTAGCTGCTGTATTTAGCTTCTCAGAAGAAAGTACTGTTTCTATGCATTTGGAAACAAGCAAAGCCATTTGAACTTTGATTCTTTTAATGCCTACTATTATGACGGTCTCCTCATTTGACATGTTTATACTTAAGTGTACTCACCCCAAATCAGCCATGATAATGCTGATATTGTCTTGTGACCCTTTGTCCTACAAGATACAAACATAATATTTGCTTTATTAGAACTGGAAACCAAGTTCTTGTTATTAGAAGCTTTAAACAAAGCAAATTGTGTGAGTATTACCAAGGCTGCTTGTGCGAGGGCTTCACAAGCTAACTGAAAATCAAAGTAAATGAGAAGTTAGAAGTTGAACCATAAGCAAACAGACACAGCAAGAAATAGAGTGCGTAAAAGATTAAAGAATACAAGTAACATGATGTACACCTGAACATCACCATGCTGACTCAATTGATTCCGAACAAACTTAACCGCATCGAAGCTGATACAATACCCGAAAATGGCACTTATTTAGTCTATCTAGATCGAAGTTGATGGACAATCTGATAAATCTTCGGGACATAAAGACTGAAGCCTAGAAATGACTGAGATACGAAAAATGACCTATTCATGTAATCCCATAGGCCATCTGATGCTATCAGTATAAACTCGACATTTGATCCGAGGGTAAGCTGAAGAACTTCTGGTGATGCGGTTACCAAATCGCCATTGAACTGTACACTGATGAGTTAAAAAGATTTTATGGTCAAACTGCTTCCTTAATTGAATCAATTAGTAATACTAAACAATAAGCGTTGAAAAATGAAATAAGAAAGATACAAGTGAGGAATCATAAAGCATACCTACCGAGAAACAAACTTTTCAGACCATCTCCCTTCTTCAACTCCTTTTCTCAGCATCCTGTTATATAGAACGACCATAAGGAGATGCAAAAAGAAATCTTCTGAAGCTCGAGAATATTAGAAGAGAGTTAAAAGGACCAAACTCGTATTTCTTCGTCTTGAATCGTATGTCACCAAATGCACGAGAAACAGAGATGTCTCCACAGATTCTCCCGTCAACGATCTAAAGACACCAAAAGCTGCAATAATGAGTATCTAAATTTTTAATGACTCAAAAAAGGATTTGGTCTTTTGACAGATAAATAACATTGACAGTCATTTTTCAACAGTAAGAATGGCAGATTAACGTAGGCAATTGCTGCATTTCCTGTTTCAAACAGGGCAGCGAGCAACAAAGAGTTTAAATGTCAAATACACAAGCATCGAATGATTATGTTTTATATGGAAGAAATGGGTAAGAGAGTTAACTGAAACAGGTACACACCCATCCACCTGCTTCTCTAATTCTTCTAATTTCTTGCAGTGAGGCGGTGTTGTTTCCATAAGGCCGATGAGAACTCGTCAATACCTGTGCTCCTCCGGAACGTGACAACACCTGCATGAACAAATCAGCTCTGAATTTTGAAGGTCTAAATGAGAAACCAAGCTTTCATTGAAAAACATGAAAGAATGTAGAAGGGCACATAAAAGAACCAGAAAGAATGTAGAAGGGCACATAAAAGAACCAGTCCCACAAAACTGAGTTCCAAAACTAACTAAGAAAGAGAATAACAATGCTTAGAACTGGTTCCTATGCCAAGAAACTGAGATATAAAGATCACCAGGTTGATGCTTACAACACAAGAGTCACCAACATGTGAAATGAACATAACATCATTTCGTATGAATGCAACAGTTGCAGTGGAACCAGATTCATCTTCCTTCCCAGCTGCCTCCAGCCTTGAAAAGTTGAGCAAAAATTACGTCAAATGCAGAATTGCACTGAGAGGATATAACCAAGTGAAGAACTGGACTTTCCACTTACAAAGGGAGTAATCTTTTATCAGTACCGTCAAAAGCCTTCTCCAAAGCCGCTTTGATCACTTCAAAATCCCCTCCATTCAACAGAAGACCACCTTGTACAGCTGTTATGCAGTCTTTGTACAGCTCCTCCCTATTGCCATATTATTTACACTATCAAAGGCCTTGTTTATTATCTATTTTTGGCACTATGAATAAACCAATGACATTGTGAAGGAAGCCTCCACTCTGCAATACATATGTTCATAAATCCTAAAGATTTCACCACAAGATGCCCTGTTGGGTTCCCACCTGAGGAACTTGACGGAGGAACAGCCACCATGGCCATCGAACACTGCAGCAAACAAGAAGCCATTAAGACCATCAGACCGCACAACAGCATCGTCCTCCATTTCTTCCCGCAAGCCTTGCAAAGTGGTCGAACCCCATCTGATTCCCGCAGCATCTGTTAAAGAAGATGGAGCATCAACAGCTATGGCATAGCAGCATCCGGTTTTTCTTCTGACAGTGAGCTGATTTGCTTTAGTGGGCTTGGAGGCAGAGGCTTGGTGGAGCTTGGTTAATAAGCGGAATCTATGCAATCGAGGACTCAACAAAGCCATTTGCTGAATCGAAACTCCAAACCCAGTTGAGTCCAATTCAAATCAAATACTTGTGTGAAGGAGATTACATTAAGAGGGAAAGATAAGAGAATGAAGGAAGGCCTCTAATTGGGTTAACGGATCAGATACCATGGTTAGAGATGGTTTGAATGTTGCCCCCACAGCTATGGAAAGAGATGGTTCATTGTTGGACAGACAAAACGATGCAGGTATACCATCACCAAGTGGGGTCTGACTGTGAAACCTGTGGCTCATCTCCAAAGTTGTAATCTTGACCGTCTCTTGGCTTCTGTTTGGTTTGATTCTGGTTTTTTTCTTGAGAAATATGTTGACATTTTAGAGGAGCTCAAGGAAGGAAAGGAACGGAATTTGAGGCTAAGTTTAATTCTTGTCTTACAGTTTGCACACTTCACTCACGATACATTATTGGTTCACCATGTAACCACTTACGATGTAGTGAATTTTCTCAATGGGCATCTCGACCCAATAGTTGCAACTATTTGAAGAAAGAAGAAAATGAGAGTTTATTGAAATTGTAAGGGCAAAATAGGAAGGTAAAAAGTCTCATTCATGCTCCACATTTAGATTATGATGTTTCATAGTCTAAAAGAAAATGTCCTTTATAAACAATCAATAATTTTAGCCTTATTATTTTTTTTTTTTCCAAATTTGATTTCTCTTGTTGTTGAAAATTTTCATAAATTAAATAAATATTTGATTCATTAATTTAACATTAGTTAAATTTAATAGTCATATCAAGTTATCATTTAAGCATTAATTCATGAATCCTAATAGAAATTATTAAAAAAAAAATACAATTCAAAATTAGAAAACAAGCTTGCTTTTTGTTTATTAATATAACTAAACCATGCACAAGAATTAATGTGGCTGTAGAAGAGGCAATAAACATGGGCATAATAAGCTTGACTAAAATGTTAAGAGGTTCATATCTTGACTCAAACTATAAATACATATAACTACCAAGTAGAAGTAGAAGTACAACAAGAGATGCTTAAAAGTTGGATTTCAATAGGAGATGAATGATATCCAAATTGCTCCCTACAAACACATAAATATTTGTGAAACAGCAAAAGGAAGAACGAAAAAAAAAAAAAAAAAAAAAAAA